ATAAACATATTAGACAGGTTAGAGCAGCGCTATGCTCATGTAGTATATAAACAGCCGTATCTTCATGTGTTAATATTCTGGACAAAAATTAATGCAGTGCAGAGCACATACCCTTGTGAGCAGAACTTTAATAAGTTTGAATTCTGATGTGCTGTTGTGGCTGCAGTTGCTAACCCTGTTTTCAAGGCACTAAGAAATGTTTGTTTTGGCAGTCGTCCATGTAGTTTCGCTGGGACTGCAAAGTGTGAAACCATTTGTCCTACACTTCCTTATCCGCCTCGTACTGCACACGTCAATCCATGTACAGAAAACCATCGGATTGCTGCACAATGTAGAAATAGGTTCCAGTACTATGGCTAGGTGTTTAAGAACTACGGTACATAATTAGGACGTAGGCTTCATTTCATTGTTAGCCTGTTGCTGACCCGCAGGTCGCGGGATAGAATCCCGGCTGCGGCGGCTCCATTTTCGGTGGAATCAAAAGTACTGTAGGCCCGTGTGCTCAGATTTGGGTGCACGTCAAAGAGCCCCAAGTGGCCAAAATTTCCGGAGCCCTCCACTATGGCGTCTCTCATAATCATGTGGTGGTTTTGGGATGTCAAACCCGACATATCGATGGATCATTGTTAGCTTTTTATAAATGCATTTAAGGTTGAAAAACCATGCTAAAGTTAAACTAGCTGTTTATGTACAGTGTTTAACCTGCTCTAGCCTGTGCCTCTGGATTTTCTCCTGTATCACTCTCTAACTTATCAATGTTTAACTGTACTATGTATTATGTCATAATGTGAGACCATCATTTATTTTTAGTGTCTCTTATGTGATTTTTATATCCGCTTTCTCTTCACAAGTGGTATGTCATCATTATATACATGAAACACCAAAGACGGGACGAAATGGAAGAACACTGCACTGTTGTTTTTTTCTTTCATCCCATTTTATAGGGCTGTTTCTTGCGTATAATGGTGAACCAGTCAGCCGAAATGTGTACCCTTTTGAAATATCATCCAGTCAGATTTGATCCCTGATTCATACTGGTGTCTGTTTCCTGAATATATAATGTTCAGTTTTAATCATAACCTCCTAGATTTCCCTTGCCTGCCGGATTTTCGGCGGTTACTTAGAAAGCGGCGGTCGTCGGAAATGTGGTGGTGACGTCACCTAAATAGGGGTGTCTTCAAATAAATATTTACGTTTTTGGAGCTTATATGCAACACAAATAACATTAAAAAGTTTTAAAAAGCGTAAATGTAATGATAATTAACCTTATGTAAGTGACGCCGTCATTTAACAGGCAGCTTGTTCAATACAAGGCATTGCTTCTGAAATAGTAACAAACACTGAAATTGCTGATCTTAAAGGCCAAGTACAAAGACCCTTACTCCTACGTAGGCAGCGCCGCCATAGATGACGGGCGTTTCGCGCTCATCCGGCAGGCAAGGGAAATTTAGGAGGCTATGGTTTAACCCATAGTGATAACTTTGTGGTTGTGGCATTGCGAATTTCGGCACAAGCTTGCGAAATCAATTCAGCCACTTAGCTCCATTTCATTTGCAAATAGAGTGAAAAATCACCCATGTATCATGCATTAAGTGCTCATTTCAAAATCCCCGATTGGTAGAATTCATGAAAGTGCCAGTTAATGCATCATTCTACCATGGATGGTTAATGCGTACAGGTCTTGTTTGTGTCGTTCGGCTGAGAATGCATGCCATAATTGTTTGGCTAGTCACGGCAGAATCACTATCATTAAAAAAATAAGTGTTTCCATTCACGCTCAAAATTTTCTTTATGAGGTCATTCCAGTCTTTGAGGCGTAGTATGTGCCTGGTACATGAGATGGATTACCACATTTATGTGTTTTTGGGGCCATTTTCTCCTGTCAGGAAATATGGGCCGGTGTTTGGCAAATCTTTGTGGTCGGTAGGTAGGACAGTAAACTTCGGTGATTTAAATAGACAAATCTTGTAGAAGTGCGGAGGACAGGTTTTTAGCTCAGGTTCATAGGCTTCAATCTTGTCGTGGCAGCTTTGATGGAGGAGAAATGGAAAAACACCTTGTACAAAAGTTTAGGTGCTTGTTAAAAGTACCAAAGTAGTTAAAAACTGTTCAGGAGTCTTCCTAAAATCTATAATGAGGTCATGGTTTCAGGACACAAGCTCGAACTCTTTATTCAAACTAATGGCATTTCAGCAGTAAATCCCGTTCCACAGAAAGCTGTCACAGTGCTACTCTGATGGTTGAACGTGTTGATGCCTGCAAAGTGACATTTCAGGGCACTAAAGACAAAAACTGTAACTCAAATGCACCCGACAACCTTCCACTGTCACAGTGCTGCTCTGATGGTTGAACGTGTTGATGTCTGCAAAGTGACATTTCAGGGCACTAAAGAAGAAAGAAATGCAACTCAAATAGACCCGACAACCTTCCACTGTTACCACTATTGGTCCCTCATTGCAGGGGTGCAACTGTTGAGCATGAAAGGAAAAGTGTTCATTCTACCATTTTTTTGCAGCATGAAACCTGTCAGGAAAGCCACATGGCTTTCTTTAACAGAAAGCCTTTCAATTGAACCAAAATTTGCCTGGCTCAACCAGAGACCAACACCTTTTCTCGCTAGGCTAGTAGTAGAAGGATAATTTTCTGCGTAATTTTGTATTCATTGTTGGGCATGTTACTTGGATGTAAAGAAGACAAATTGGCTTTCCTACTAATATTAGTAATTATCTGTTGATTTAGAGAAATTAAAAAACATTTTTCTTTTTAACAGGGCTGCAGTTATGAGCCAAATGGAGTGGAGGGATACAGTGATAACATAATAAGATCCGTAAGTTTTGCTGTAAGTGTTGGCCACCTGCATCGCTTACTAGTGTTGCTTGGTGTGCTTTTCTACTTCCCTTGTTTGATGTTTGTAATGTCATTGTGCTCTCCTTGTCCTTTTAAAGGGACCATGACATGACCTTCCAACAATTTGTGGTTTCCAGCAAAAAATTGAACTAGAGGGTCTATTATGCCTATACATATTTGAAAAGTGCACTGTAAAAAAAATACTTTAGTGCAAACGAAGCCCTAGAAGTCTTGACTGCAAACCTCGTCCACCACTGGTGAACTGCCATTTCGCCGTGGCGTGTGATGTCATGTGCGACAATAAGTAGAGCCGTCGTCTTCTACCGAAGTTTCCGCGCTGCAGATCGTTCAATTTCAGTGTCAAATTTGAAAAAAGTTAAAATATTGTGATTTAATGTGCAGCTGACCAAAGAACAGTATTGTTCGCCAGAATGCAGATGCTCTCACAGCGAGGAGCTTGTTGCATCATGGATTGCGAGTGCGCCAGTCTCGCCAGACTCTCAGGTTACTCACGTACCTAAAGATATTCAGTTACGAATGAAGTGCTTGACCAACTGCGCTAAAACATATCGAGCTGATTTGTGAACGCACAAGGATCTACCCGCATCATACAGACTGTGATAGAAAGTTAGGTGTCATGGCCCCTTTAAGATTTTTTAAGATTTTTTTTTTACTGCCTGGTTTTAGCATGCAGCCTCTTTTCCCTTTTTTTTTTCTTTTTTTTTTTTGAAGCAACTGCTTGAATGTCTTGCTTTTGTATTTAATGCATGGATGCATGCCACTTCCTTTTATATTTTGTTCTTTCTATTTATTGTTACTTGTCTCATGTATTCTATGGTGAAAACGGCATCATGTCTTCTGTGCAATTTTAATCCTTTGGCAGCTTGCCTATGCTCCTTTGGTTTAAGAATGCTTTGGTTTGGTCAAGTTGGCGTGATAGCTCCGGAGTTAAACAGTAAAAAAAAACGGATACAAAAAAACTCGCACACACAAGACCAGGACTGGTCCTGTGTGTGCGTGTTTGCCTGTGTCTGTCTTTCTTGCTGTTTCTGTATAATGCTAGTCGGTGTAATGTCGTGTGACCAGCCTCGTGGCAAAGGCATGGATGGCTGTGGATTTATTCTTTTAGTGTGCTTGTCACAGGTTTTGTCTTCCCACTACATTGTCGTGTTTAAATTGAACGATGTATATCATGCGTGAAACCTTTTTTACATTAAACTTCATTCATTTGTATTGTCATGTAATGGCATGGGAACATGTGCATTGTTTTGAAGGAGAATCTATCTACAACAATACAAGTTACCAAATCTATTGTTTCTCTGCTTTTGTGTCATTAGATTTTTTCCCCACTTGTGCTCGATTGTCAGGTGCTAAAATTTCGTTTGCCAATTCTTTGCGTACCACTTAAATCGCTAGGCAGTGCCTTTTTATGAAACAATGTAGTGCTCATTGTTTGCAAGAGTATCTCTGTATTTATTGGTAAAGTATGAGCACTTAGCACCTGTTTCAGTCTCTCGGAAAATAAAATAAGCTAGGTCGAATAAAACTGGTCTCTTGATTGATGTGCAGCATCTCCCTGTGCAGTGCCATGCTTTGCAAGTATTGACATATAGAATTATATGTTTCCTTTACTTCTCTGTGGTTAAAATTTGCAGTGGCGTTTCCATTTTATGTAACCTGACATCTCTCGCTTTCACATCTTACACATAATTACAGGGGTGCAACAGCTGTGCCTATTGCGCCAATTTGGTTTTAGTGCTCCAAAATTTGGATTTTAGTGCTCCAGAAATTGCTCTAAATTCTATTTCATCTGTTGTACCCCAGCATAATTAGAATTATTCATAAAAAATTGAGAAGGAGATCTCACTGAAGCCAACATTACAACTCAAAATTTTGGCTGTAGCAACATTTCCTATTTTATAATTTTTTTGATCGCTTCTCAACTTTTCAGCTTGCTTTGAACTTCTGTATTGCTTAATTAGTGCCATGCAGGGTTTTCTCCTAATCGGACATTCTACGCATATTTTTCTTGAAGGTAATATACGCACTAGACAGCTGTTGACAATATATCTGCATCGTTGTCAAAATATGCGACGCCTTCGAAGTGTTTATCGACTCTAGTTTCAGTTGTATAAGTGTATCAGGGTTACGATTTTGCCACTATTGGCTGTAAGATTAAGCAGAGTCGCCGCTGGCGGCAACTGGCTAAAGGGCGCAAGAGTGGATTGCTCCGTGCGTCGTCTGCTAGCCATGTCGTGTTTGTATGTGGCCTTGCGTCATGCGCGTTCTCAAAGGGGGGTTTATCGGATTATGTCGGCGCAAGTATAACTGCTTGTACGTATGCTTAAAACTGTGTACGAAAGCATTCAGTCTTTCTCGGTGGCTAATCCATTGTAATAAGATCGGCAGGTATAACTTTCCAGAGTGCTCTTTATTTTCGTTCTACCCTCCATTCACCAGAACAATTTTAGAGTGGGTGCCACTTTCTGCTTCAAGCACATCTAAAATGTTCTTGGCATGCTTCTAAGCATAAGGACTATGAAATGGTGTGTGAATGCAGCATTTTAGCAACTCGGTTGTAAACGAAAGCGAGGCTCTAGGCAACGTCCTTCCACACTGTTGATAGATGTAAAAATCATGGCACGGTAGTTTATCGGTTATGCAAGGAGCCTTGGTTGTGTTTATCTGGCCGTGGTGCCACAACATAGAAATATTACTATCCTATAAACTGTGACACTTCGGTACTCGCACTACTTGAAATGTAGTTGCTGTGTGCAACCGTGTGCTTAGATTTAAAAACCCTTTAAAGAGCCCAGACGTTCAAAATAATTCTGACGACATGCCTTAATTTAATGTTGTACAATTTCGCTGAAAATCTTATCTTTTTTGCAGTCTTGAGTATTTGTATATGTTGTTATTGACCGATGGAAGGCAGTGGTCATTTTTCATCTAAAAAACAAAAAAACATGCTTGTGCATTAATAACCAGGCCTCTGTTGTAGCACTATCATGCACGTAATTCATTGAAGAAAGCTTTCTGCTGAATGCGTACGAGGTTTTTGTACTTCTACTGATGCAAGAGCATGTGCATATACGTGGTAAGCGCAATGTAGCACAAGGTGCTGTTGCCACCAAGCTTTCCTGACTAGACTTATTGACTGTCCCACATTTCATGGGGAACAGAATGAGAAAATAAGATGCATATGTGTATAAGTACGAACGGTGGCACTGAACTCGTTGCAGAGATATGCAGGCTTTCTATAATCTTTCTCTTTTTTTTCTTGGTGTATGCAGATGAGAAAGATGTTATAAGCAGTTCTGTCATGCAACTGCAGTGTGTAGCAGGCGGAACACAAGCTGAACATGCATAAAAACAGAGCAAAAGCGTGATTTAGTGCGAAAATGCGCTGACAGTCACTTAGAGCAAGCATCTTTTTAAAAGGCACAATGCTCTTTACTCACTCGTAATGGTAACGTTGCATAGGCCTCATGCACCAATTCATTGGAGAGGAGCGTAGATATTAGGAGTCTGCAATCAACACCTTTTATTTGCCGACAATAGGCTCAGACCGCACTCAACGAAGTGCCGCTGCATGTATTTGTATACGCGCCGCCGACCGCCTATCCACTTCCCCGGTGAGACGGTGCTGCCACCTATAGCTCAATCTCGCCGCGAATGCAGCTGTTTTAAAAATATATCTGGCTTGAAATATCATGTGCATTGTCCTATAATCTTTTCCAAAATCTGAGGGAAATTTTCTTGTTAAATCTTGAATTCAGTACTCTGCGAATGTAATGATAAAGGAAAACTGAACAAAGACTGGAAAAACTGACAGAACTTCGAAATTGCACTCGGAAGATGCCCCTGCTGCAATAAACGGAGTTTATTTCCCGTATTTTCGAACAGCTGGTTGTATTTTTGATGGATTGTGTGCGCGTGGCGGCTGCTCGCGTGAACGCAAGCAGTGACATCGAACTCAACGCAGCACATGGGGGATGCACGTGTTCTTGTCCCACTTTTCCTTTTCTACAGCTGTCCTTTCACTCCTGTCTTTCCCTTCCATAAAAGCTCTGGTGGTTAGCCCCAGCCGGAAGCATTGTTAGCTGCTGTTGCTGTTCATATCGGTTTTGGAAACCATAGTGGAATTTGAGCCAGTTGAGAGACGCAGGCCATGGACTGGCATTGTTGGCTTGCCAGTTTCCGGTGAGTTTGACGTTGCCCAACATGACATCCTCTATTTTCCGGCGCTGCCGCTAGACGTGACAGTTTGTGAAAAACACACTAAATTCATTATTTTATCGTAGATTCTGCTTGGAATGAAGGTTATCTCTGTCAATTTCAGGATCCAATCTATAGAATTGGCTTAAAATATTGGCGGCAAAAACTTTGTTCAGTATCCGTTTAAGTCTCGTACGTCACAACTGTTCCTATGGGCCGAAAATAAAGGATAGTACCACAGTCGATCATAGCTACGGGTGTCAGCACTGCATACTTCCCTTCTTCAGCAACTGAAGTGGGCCTGTAAAATAAGCAATCCAAGTTTGAAAAATAAGAAAACAAAAAGTAATACTGAGTGGGAGGCCTTCACTACCTATACAATCCTTGTACAATGACACCAAATCTGATTGAGTGATTCTCACTCTTTGCATCTTAAGAGAGTTATAGTGGCATCACAAGTGCAAGCCTATGTCTCCTCGAGTCTAGTTTTGATAGTCTGAGGAAATCTGAGCAAGTCCAAGTTGCTAGCATAATGCTCCAGTTGCAAGGGAAACTGTAAACGAGTATGCTTTGGCACACCTTGTGTCAAATAAGTAGTATGGTGCTTCATTGTAAAGTGCTATTTTGTATTGGTGGTAGGGTTGAAGCATAAGTCGCTACACCTGCTTATTTTACGTAATGTTTACAAAATAGCACTGCAATATTGCTAGAAAGAACAGTGTGAAGTTTAGTTTGTTACAGCAATTAATGGTCGCGTCAAGTTTGCTGTAAGTG